CTCTTTGTCTTGCTCCTCCTCCTCATCATCCTCACCGAGTCAGACCTTGACATTGCATTTTTAAGTGATATCCGCCAGACCCCCGAATTTGAGCAGTTCCATTACGAATACTTTTGTCCCCTCAGGCGGTGGTTTGCCTGCAAGCTCCGCTGGGTGGGCGGGTTGCTCATTAACAAGTGAGAGTGAGGTCGTAGAGTCCGTAAGCCCGTTCGGGGGTCTGAGAAGACGGTTAGGACTTCGGAGTGATGGAGGGCAGCCTCGTCCCAACCATGAACCCTGCTTCTCTCATCCTCCTCCTGCAGACATACAGCTTGGACCACTCCTGGTAACACCGGGCCAGGATCTCTCTCCCCCCTTCCTCCTCCTCCTTCTCCTCCTCCACTTTGAGTTGCCCTCCCTCCCACCCAACCACCTCCTCGTTTCGCTTCCGTTCGTTTTTTTCCTCTTTTCTTTTTTTTTTCTACAAAGCCAGGACACTTTTTTTTTTTTTTTTTGCATTTTTTTTTTTTAATTTCAGGTATTTTATTTTTTCAAATAACACAAAGGAAAAAAATTAAAACTGAAACATCAAAGAACTTAAGAATTTTAAACAGTTCCTTTTTACAGGAACGGAAGATTTCGTCGCAACGGATGAGCGTTGCCTTCATTTATTATTTATTGCTTTTTAAACATGGATTTTGCATAAGAAAAGGAGACGAGAGAGGACGAGTGGTAATCGGGGAAGTTGATTTGTTATTAAAAAAGATGGAAGTGAGTCATGTTAGTCAAAAGGCCTACTGCTGGGAAGTACGTGTGAGTCAAAGCGGTGTAATATCTTTTGATATTAATTCATCCTCATTGGAGTCAACGAGACAAACAGCAGATTAACCTCATTAGAGAAAAAAAAAATGCAGTCTGAGGGGAATAACAGTGAAGGTTCATGAAACAGAGAACAGACAGGGTGATTACCAAATGCCTTTTTTTGATTAAATATTGAAGACTGTGGGCAGTTTAGAGTTCAGAGGATTGTTTAAGACACAGTTAGTATACGGTGGTATACGGAGCCAACTGGTGAAACTGCTTTTCTAACGTTTTATAAGGATACAGTAAAATAAATCAGTTAGTGTCATGTGACCCAGTAGTGCGGTTAGAGAAACGATGAGCAGAGATTCACCGGCACCAATAGATTATAGTCTAGATAGACGTGCAATGCTGATATGGTTTTTAATAATTAAGTACTTTGAATGTGCTCCTTTGTTGGATTATTCTGTTATTTCTCCGATTAATTTGATTTTCTTTTTCATTAAGTTGAAATTCGATGAATTTCAATTATTTCTTTCTATGAAGAGTTTATGATTTATTTTGGTTTCATATCGACCTTGCTCTTAGGTTCATGTATCATACTATATTACTATTATTGTTAGAATAAGAGTAATGATGTACTTTTTGTACAAATTAGTTTGTTTCCTAATATATATTGACAGGTTTTCCATGTATATTTTAACAGAACTGAAATGTTATTTTGTTATTGAAGATTAAATTATACCTTTTTTAGCGCTGTGTTTCAAGTAAGGTCAGAAGCATTTATGGCAAAATGTGGAAAGGGAGTCGAAAAAAACAAACAAACAAACAAACAAAAAAAAAACAGGGCTTTTATCCAGATCCACTAAACACTGATCACACCTCTCATCTGTCCACCAGCAGTGAATCAGCCGGCAGCAGTGTGTGTGTAATTTTAAGGATGATTTTAAACACGTATTTGTATCGAATACAATCCGGATATATCATTTATACCACCGCAAATACCAAATATTTCCAAAACACATGTTCAGCTTTCATCACTTTGTCATATCTTATTTTACTTGAAGAGTTTGGAGAGGTGACTGTGAGCCTGACCAACTGGATCTGCACTAAAAACAACTTTGATTTGGAGAATTTGTAAAAACAATTTAAAAAAATTAAGGCTGAAACAATAGTTTGGCGCAAAATGCCAAACATTTTCTGGGTTCAGCTGCACCAGTGTGAGGGTTTTCTGTTTTTATCTGCATTATAAAGGTCGGATTTTTGACTGTTAGTGTAAAGAAAGATGAAAAAATAACAAGATTTTAAAAAAAGAACTTTGAATCCCTGAGAATTAAGAATTTCCAATTGATTATTGTAGAGAAAATAGGCAGTTTAATCAATACAGGAACTATTAGTAGGTTGCAGCATGAAACAAAACATTTTGTAAATAATAAATTAAGAATTAACGACTAAAATGGGCCCAACACATTTATTGATTTTATTTTTTTGGTAGAGGCTGCTAGGCAAATTATAGCATGTAAAATCATTTTTTGGAGATCCCTCCTGATCTTTATTTGCGTTGCTCCTTTAATTTTAAAATATAATATATATATATTATCAAATAATATCTGCCCCTTGATATTTCGGTCAGGCTCTTCTGCCTCACAGCTCCAGGGAGCAATAACTGTCATGGCTGCTGGATTCTGGGTAAAGTCTGTTTTTTGTATTGCGTGTCTACCTCCTGTACCAGGTGCAGGTGTAAGTGTTAGTGTGTCTGTATGTAGGAAACAGAAGCAGGATTCAAGATGATAGCAGTGGGTTGTGTTTTTTTTAGAGTAAAAACAAGAGGGAGTTACAAGGAGAAAAAAAAAGAGGAAAATGAGAAGTCTGCTTCTTTGAAAGTGGGGTTTTTAAAATACTAATTGGGAATGGATGGCACTTGTTGACATCAATCTAATGGCTGTACAGGGTTAACTTTATGTTTGTTTTTTGCCCCCCTCGCCCCCCTGCAGCTGCTCCACTGAAAGCCCAATGGTGCTACTTTCTTTGTTTGCTCCTGTGTAAATCAAGCGTAACAGCCCTCGGCTAAGTTGTAGTCCTGACCACAGAGTAGCATGCACTTTGGCGTTGTGGCTGGATCCACTTCTGTAGCTCATTATCTTTCACAAACCGTAGTTATCTCCGGTGGAGGCAGCAGCAGCAGCACCGACGTTTCCCAGCACCGATGCCGGAGGAAGCATCGAATCATTAGAGCTACGCTGGCAAGCAAACCTGTCATACATTAAGTGTGAGAGCTCGTTTATGTCAAGTTGATCATTTTCAACTGAGCTACATCCGGTAAATAGCAAAGATGAAGCACACTTTTTCCTAACAAGGGGTGGAGCAGGGTGGTGGGTGGGTTGACTTTTTTTTTGTGTACATTCATACTTCATATTTATTACTTCTACACTGAGGTCAATAAGAACCATCAGTCCAGCCAGGCTGAGTTCTTAAGACGTCTTTTAAAAAGTCTGTCTGCAAAGGTTTTTCTCTTACATCGATCAGCATTATGTAGCTTCAGTGGTCTCTCTGAACATGCAACAATGACAAAAAAAAAAAAAGGCAGCATTATTCAAGGAGCAATAACCAGCTATAAGAGCAAAAAGATGTGATTTACAAACTTGTGTACGAAAATCCAATGATGAATAATGTTTGATAGGTCAAAAATGTCCTGTTTCTAGAAAAAAAAAACAACTAACCAAATTGCTGTTGTGCCGACTCTAACAATGGTGTGACCACTTAGTTACCGTTGCATTCAGTAATGACATTTTATAAAAATCCGTTTTTCCTTAGAGACCTCTTGTGTGGATGTTTGTTCTGCTGTTTTCTTTGCTGTTTCATTGTTAAGTGACAGAGAGTTCCCCTCCCCCTCCCCCCCGTGCCTGCATCCTCACTCTGCAGTTTACCAAAGTGGCAAAGATGAAGGAACGGAGACAGAAAGATCAACTTCTGTATCCTTAAATCTCCAAAAGGCCGAGAGGGAAAAAACAATGTTCACCTCTGTCTGAAACTGTCTGTAATGTTCACCGGGCAGTCTCTGTCTTAGTTTGTCTTCGCAGGCGTGTTTTCCTGTGACAAACCTGACTTTGCATTTTACATTTCAGTTGCTGTGTCATGTTTACATCTTCTTTTACTTCATGGGAGAGGTTTGTGTGACTACTGTTGATCTAGTTTGTGATTCCTGATTTGTTAAGGAAATCAGATCACCTGTACTTGAAAAGGTGTAGTCATTTAAATAATATGTGGTGCAATGGAAGGTTAAATTTAAATGTAATATACTGGAGATGAGGGGGTGGACTCAATAACAGAAACACCTGCACTGGATGATGCAGTTCCGTACAACAGCCGAGCAACATGTGACGCTTACGATGAACTCCTATTAAGGTTCATGTCTGAGGCTCGTGTCGTTTTACTGAAATACATTGTACTGTGAGGTGTTTCTGTTATTTTGTCCACTCCCTGTATTTTTCTACGTCTTTCCGTAATCATCACATACCGAAACAAAACACTCTCAGACACATAATCGGGATTTAAGTTTCAAAGATTGTCCAGCAGGGTGGTTCTTCAAACATCATTCTTAAGGTTTTTGTTGACATTTATGTGATGAAAGGAGTTATCAGTTTACACGACCAAAAAAAATCAAGTGATCTAGTCTGAATTGGCGATCTAATCCCTGTCACATTATCGTGAATGACGCTTGTTGCACTGAGGGGTTGATGAAATGAGTCATAACTGAAGACATCTCGCTCTGCTTTTTGCCCCTCCGCTAGCTCCCAGTAGACAGACCCTCACACAACCGTGCGTACACGCGAGTAAGCGTGTGCGCATATCTCCATGTCTGGTGGTGTGTTCTGTAGTCTGCCTCGTTCTATCCTCGGATTGGAGATTGCTGTTTAATTGCGTTAAATATACAAGTATATATATATAAATCCATGTGCCAAATCCAGTTCTTGTTCAGTCCGATCCATTCCGAAACCCATGTTTGTACTGTAGGTAACCTTCTGTACAAGTCAGTATAAAATATTGTTTCTCTCCAATAGTCCCTTGTAACTGGTGCCATTAAATAAAACTATTCAAACTTGAAATAAACATTAAATAAAAATGTGTTGCGGCTCCCCCTGTGGTTTTGTGGAACGATGCAAATTCAACTTTCTTGTCTCGGGTAAAAAAAAAAAATCAAATACAAGTTGAAGCAATAATTATTATTAATGGGGTTTCAGTTTCTTTAATATAAAAAAATGGAAATTTTACAACAATTTACAACAGTCAGTATAAAATCGGGACAGACAACATGCATCAACTGTACAGAGCTTAAATAAACTGTCTTAATATAAAATTGTGTTACAACAGAGAAATAATTTACAACAATTGATAACCTCAACTGGTTTGAAAATGTAGTGGAAAAGTAGTTTTCTACCCTACGAAGTCAGATCCATAGGCTAAGACGTTGAGAAGGAGGGCTTTAAGAAGGGTCGCTGGTTGCTTTGAGGCGTCGGGACGGCCAGAATTCCTGGTCTCCTACCCGCTGACGTGTCTCCGGCTGTGGCCCTGAACCCTCGACCTGCACCTTTTGATGCGCCTGTGGAGCTGGATGACGACCACGACTTGTTGCTGCTGTAGCCACGACTGAATCAGCAACACAGGAGAAAGAGGGGGAAAAAGCAAAGAGGATTGTCAAGCTTTCTGCTAAATATGATCCTCAAGTATGAAATGTGAAGACAACACACACCCTTTAGAACCGGAGCTTGAGTTGCCGTATGCTTTCTTCTTCTTGGAATACTTGAAGAATGGAGCTTTCTTTCTCTTCTGGCCCTGTGAAGCCTTGCTACGGAAGTAGGTGGAGGACTCCGTGTCCTCATCGTCCTCGTAATTTACACTTGTTCGGCCTCGTGTCGTGTCTATCCACCCGTCTCCACCGCTCTCATTCTGCTCCTCTGCTTGAGACAGAATCTAACTTTAACACCACAAAGACTAAACAAGTAAAGGGTGCAAATGCTAAAATATGCATAACTTCAGCTCTTACCGGGCAGCTGCCACTCAGAGTATTTCTGCAGGACCTGAATGACTTCAGCTCCGTACTTCTCCAGTTTGTCCTCGGTCACACCGTCGATTTGTAGTAGGACTTCGGGGTCAGAGGAAAGCTTCTCTGTTTGTGGAAAAAAAAAAGTGTGACAGTTTATAAAATGCTGGTTATAAATAAGGAAACATCATCAGTTGTTATGTGTCCACCAATCTTAGAAGTAGCTTTTGAAATTACCAGCTATCTTTTTCAAGGTGGCAGTGGAGAAGATGTTGTAATAATGAATGCCAAACGCTTTCCCCAGCTGCTTGCACAGATCAGTCAGCTCCTTCAGACACTCCTGAACCATCTTTTCTCTCTGGGAGACGTTCTTGGCCACAGCCTTGTGTTTCCTGATGGTGGATGCGCTCTCCGTCTCATAGAACTCCACCTGAGATACAAAAAAAAAAAAAAGAGGAAAATGGAGGAAAAATGTAACACTTAAATATTCATGTTGTATTCTTCACATTGCCTCAAACCTGATGTATGACTTGTTACCTGCATGTATCCAGACAACACGCTCATGGCTTTTGTTCCAGCAGAGATATAAGCCACAGCTTGACCGTTGTTAGTGATGTAAAGGTCCTCAACCAGGATGTTATCCAACACCAGTTTTTTGAACAGACGGTCAGCATTATGCCTGGAGTAGGCTCCTCCCATCCCAAACATCCCTGTCTGTACCTTGGCAGATTTAGACCCTGAAAAAAATAAAAGTTTCCCAACATGAGACCAATTAGAATACAAACAGAGCTGTACAGGTCAAATCAGCATCTTGCACACTGAATTTGCACAGTTCTGTACCTATGAAGATATCCACCAGCATGTTCAGTGTCAGTCGGTTCTGCTGAGCCGTCCTGCCAAACCTTGATCCAACCTTCTCGCAGTTCTCCTGGACGAACTGCACAATCTTCTTCACATCTTCAGTCACATTTCTCACCTTGTATTGCTGCGTACAGAAACATTTAAACATTTAGAAATGGCCAGGTAGGTATTATTTCTAGAACTAATGAAGGCAGAAATGACTCCTACATTGGGTTTGGCGCAGTTGTCACAGCTGACGTCCGGATGGTCTTTACAGAAGCTGCTGGTGAACTTGAGCTCCCCAAAGTAGGCGAGCAGCTGAATTCTTCTGCACTCCATCATGTTCTCACAGAAGTGCACCATGCTGTGCAGGTTGTTGTAATGAGTGGCCTTGGTGTGTTTGTCACCTTCTCTGTCCACTGTAGGAGCAGAAGCACAACATGAGATTACTATAAACTATTATATATAATCACCAAGTTACCACACTGACCCACATAACTTTTAAATGCAAAAAGAAAGTTTTATAATTTCGCCACGTACTGCTGATAATCCTCTTGATGCGGTGGACGTCAGCGTATGAGTAGAAGAGAATGCAGTGAGAGATCTCTCCGTCCCTGCCAGCTCTACCCGACTCCTGGTAGTAACCCTCTACTGATTTAGGCAGACTGGCGTGGATCACATAGCGCACATCCGGCTTGTCAATGCCCATGCCAAAGGCTATGGTGGCACAGATGACCTGGTAGACAAACATGAAACAAAAGCAATGTGCAGTGTGTCTCACCTTAAACTTTAAATCCTTCAAACATATACTGGGTTTATAATATGCTATGATAATATTTGTACTTTGCATCAAGCATTTAGTCTACCAAGTTTACGAAATGATTAAGTTCTGAACTGACCTGGCAACCGTCCTGATTGATCCACTTGCTCTGCACATATTCTCTGTTACCGTCGCTCAGTCCTGCGTGATAGGCCAGAGCTAATATCCCTGCTCTCTGCAGACTCTCTGCCATGGCATCACAGTCATTACGAGACAGGCAGTACACTATTCCAGAGTCACCTGCAACATGTGGACACAATTTCAATCTGGATAATTAAAAACAAACAAACAAACAAAATACCCATTCTTTCATTGCAAGGCTACTTATAAAAGCAGCTAATCATTTGATAAAACATGGATTAAAAGTAGCTTAAGAATGTTACTTCCATAAAACATTCACAATATGCGGTTACCAAACAGCATCTTGTTGAGGTGTCAGAACTGATTATACAACATCATCTAGAGGACTTCTTGTCTGCAGACTGCTATGCGTTCTGACTTTCTGTTCCTTCAACGTGATTCAGACATGTCAGACCTCAAAGTGTTCATACAGGGTTGAATTTTTAACAGAGCAGTTACGCCACTGTTCTGAAAATAGCATGCGCTGGGATCAGAAAAAGTACTGAATTATTTACGTGGGTAGTGCTTCTTGATCCAGCTGATGCAGTCCTCGTCTACCTTTTTGGGTTTCTTGGGCAACACAGAGTACTTCAGGTTGATTCTGTTGAAGCTCATGGTAAACCTGAAAATACATCGGATGGAAAATGCACAGTTACTGATGGCCGTCTTAAGTCAGCAATAAACAACACTTCAGTTATGAATCTAAGAGAAAGTGAACACATACACTTGCGGTCGAGTCATATTCAGCTGGTTGAGGATGTCTTTCTGCACACGGGGAGTAGCGGTGGCTGTCAGAGCCATCATCGGCACGTTGGGGAACCTCTGACGGAGTTCATGCAGCTTCTTGTAGTCTGGACGGAAATCATGGCCCCACTGAAAAATTTAAAGTAATTTGGATTATTCTCAACGGCTGCTGCGAAAAATAAAAGCAGACTGCAGATTGTTAGAGCAAAGGAACACACCTGACTGACACAGTGAGCCTCATCTATGACGAACCGGGCCAGAAGGCCTCGCTCGTACAGGTTCTGCAGTGCCGAGATTAACCTGTTACTTGCACTGACCTTGGAAGGAAAGAAAAAGATGCATCAGTCATTAAAGTGTTCGAAAATCATAGTAAATGACAACAAGAAAAGACATTTAACAAAGCTTATACTATGTATGTGCGAGTCACGAAAAGCTCACCTTTTCAGGTGTGACATAGAGCAGTTTAATAATGGGGTCTTTCCTGGAAAGTTGCATATAAATCCTTCCAGCTTCACTGTCACTTTTGTCTCCAGACAGACTTGTTGCTGGAATCTAAAAACAAAACAAATGAATATAGGGCATCTAGGATTATTTTTATTTATCTGATAAATATTTTCTAATCACTGATTTTGTCTTTAAAGCATCAGAGAACATTTAAGAATGTTCATCACGATTTCCCACAGACAAGATGACACCATTAAATGTCTTGTTTTGACTGACCACAAGTCCAAATCCCTAATGTAATGCATGTATTACAATAGAATACCAAAATTCTCAAATGTGAGAAAATGCAATCAAAATATTTTTCCTAATCTTTAATTTACAGATTAATCCTTCATCTTATCATTGCAGCTCTAAATTTGCACAATTTCAGACCAGTGGAAGTAAATATACTTACATCCAGGGTGGTGAGTTTCTGGATCTGGTCTACAATGAGCGACTTGAGTGGGGAAATAACCACAGTGACTCCCTGTGAGATGCAGGCAGGCAGCTGGTAACACAAGCTTTTACCCCCACCTAAAAATACATCAGTTTGAGAGGTTTGGACATCTTCGCTGCACTTGTTCCACAGCTACATTAAATGTGCTTCAACTAACCTGTGGGCATCAAAACAAATGTGTCTTCTGCCAGAATTGTGGCGTTAATCGCTTCCAGTTGATTAAACCTGAACTGATGAAGTCCAAAACGCTTGTGAAAGATTTTCATCATCTCTTGTGAATGGGAGAAGTTGAACCCTCTGAAGCGATCGTGAGCTGGGTTTTTGAAGGTGGGCTCTGCAAAAAAAAAGACACAAAACATGCGATAGTGAAAAAACACCATCTAAACATTGACCTACACGACAAATCCCTCCCTAAATCGGGCTCTGTATTCATCAATGACATCCAAACAGCTTCTGTGTTGTCGGCTAAAAGTAGGACTATTTAGCATGCCTACAGGATTTCACGTCTGATATCAGTTTTATGACACACTAAACTTAACAAGACTGTCTGGTTGTATATAGGCTGATAAAAAATAATGTTGAATGAAGGTAAAAATAAAAAATTTGTAAAGAATCTGACGCAAATGATTTCTTGATTTCAATATAGTGCCATTTCATGAGCACACATACAAGTATTTTCATAAAATGTTCCATAAACTGTGATTCCTATTTTTTTTTAAGCCCTCGTTGACTTGCCTGGGGAACAAATCTTTGAAGGCTTCGGTGCAGAAGCAGGTGTCGTTGGTTTCTTCTCCCATGAGAACTTGCTTGGGCCGCCCTCCTTCACTGTTGTCGTCACAGTGCTGGAGTTCTGTGTAGAAGCTGATGAAGTCGAGGGTTCGTCGAAGTACTCCGGAATGTCAGAGTCATTGAAGTCATCTATGTCAAAGTCGTCATTGTAAAAGTCATCTTCTTCTATATCTTCTGCGGCTGTGAATGGTGGGGTATTAGTTTTTTTTACAATCTCTGGCTTCATGGGTGAGAAAAACAGATCTGAGTCCTCAAGATCTATGCTCTGTTTCTTAGAGAAATTGAAAGATGTCTTTGTGAGGCTGTGGCCTGATGGAGAGTCACAAGCGCTCTCATTTTCCACACATACTGTTGTGCTAGTCTTGCTGTTCAAGGGCTTTAAATCAATAATACTGTCAGAGTGATCAGACTCATAATCCAGAGAGATGACTGAAGATCTCCTGAGCTGAGGAGGCTTCATGGTGTCCAAAGGCACAGAGCTGTTGTGTGACACAACGCTAAAGGTACCACAGCTAGAAGATGACGTTTCTTTAAAGCTAGATTCAGAAGTCACAGTGCTGTCAGGCTGCTGCATCCTAAACACAGAGTTACCGCCAGTTGCAAGAATCCTTTTCCTGCAGGAAGAAGACAGATGACTGCAGTCACACTGAGAAATCATCAAACATTATGAATAACAACAAAGCTGTTTTTGACTTAAATGAACACACCTTTGAGCCCTCTTCAGTAAAAGTTCACTTCCACAGGTCAGAGCTATTAGTTCATGTTCAGGGATGGAATCAACAAGAGCACAAATGGACTCCATGATACTAAAGAGCTGTTCATCTGTCAGGTGTACAAAAACAAACAAAAAAAAAGTCAAATGAACTGACAAAATCATTAACAAACAACATTTTTTTATGTTAAAATGAGCTGATGTTTTGTTCAAATCAGAAAAAGGCATGAAACCCACTTGTTTTGTCTTTTGCCTGGAGATGCGAGGATTCATGTAGTGTTGTGACGGGACCCTTTGATTGCACAGGAATGTCTCTACTTTGAACATCAGCGGATTTTGGTCTGTTTGAAAAGAAAGCAATGTTAAGTCCTGCTGACTGCAGGGCGTGAGACACATTCATTAGAGGTTGTTCTTTGGTTATTTTTAAAATATTTTTACTTCTCTTTAATATCAAGTCTATAATACAGGTCAATAAAACATGCAAAATTAAGGACGTTGCCATGACAATGATAGCAACCAAAGGATTCAAAGATTTTTTTTTGCCATATGCATCAATAAAAGTTATCAGACCTTGCAGTCTCTCTAACTAGTGCCGTGATCAACCCATTTACAGAACGCACTCACCTAAAATTCTCTGCTCATATATATTGACGGAGACAAATATGCAAAGAACAGTGCAAAGTGTATGCACACAAAAACTATGTGTAAAAAAGCATGTGCAACATTCATGGTTTAAAGTATCAAGATAAGCAAAAAATAAAATAAAATCCAACATTGTGAGACTGCAGCAAGTCCTTGGGTTGATGACGTGGAAAGAGGAATTGAGGGGTGGAGCAGTGGCTTGGAAATGTTAATCAGTATTATGGCTAAATGGTATAAACTGTCTCTACACCTTGAGGTTCTGTGTGTCAGTCTTATGTAACGTCTGCCGAGCAGCAGGAATATGAAAAGGCGTTGCTGGGTTTGGTGCTGGTGGGTGGAGTCCCTGATAATGTCGTTGGCCTTTCTGAGCCATCTTTGATGACAGATATCCTGTAGAGATGAGAGGGCCGTACCTATGACACTATATACAATATCATAGGCTGTACCTATGATCGTATCGATTTGCAGATGATTAAAATGATGTGAGGCACTCAAGAATTACCGTCAGCAAAAATGTGGCCCCTGTAATAAATGTACTGTCAAAACTAATATGGTTAGGGTGCTCCTGTGACGTAGGAGTAAAATCACTGGCCATGACCAACCGTCGTGGTCATGCATTCGTCTAGTGGTACAATCTAATCATTTGATTTGTATAACAACAGGTGTAGCAACTTACAGATTCTTTTACTCAGAGCTCATAACAAAAAAACCGAGGAAAAAAAAAAACAACATAGCTAAGAGTTGGGAAGAAAAGCTACAGACTACAGACTATTAAAAAAAACTCTAAGTATGCTTTAAGAATCAACTCATTCTCGACCATGTATACACTGTAAATTATGAGAACAGAGGTAAAATACATTAACAAAATGTAAATACTGACCTTTTCTCCTTTACAGAGGTTGTATAAGAGATCTCATCATTGACTGGTGAAGGGGGAACGCAATCAAAGTCGTCTTCAAGCTCCGAGTTGTAGTCAAGATCGATTACCTTTGGGTCTATCCATTTTTTCTCACTGCCTGAAAAGCCAGCAGATATCTCATATTAGCCTGTGTGCGTTTTTTTTTTTTTTATACTTCAGTGCTTTCAGGGTTTGTATCTGCTGTCAAGTACAAATAAGATAAAATAGTTACCTGTCCTGTCTTCAAAGGGTTCCGGCACAGCATTGCTATCTTCTTCACTATCACTAATGGCAGACTTCAGGTGTGCAGCAGTACGTCTTCTGGTCATTTTAACGGGGGAATCCTCCACACTAGGACATTGTGAAACTGCAGCTTTGTCAACACTGTACTCTGGCTCATCTGTTTCCATACAAGATTGCTCACCAGTCTTGTTGCTGAGTCTCTCAGGCGAGGCATCATGGTTTAGTTTCCCTGCAAATTTTGCTTTTTCTTCAGTAGGACATGACAGTAGCTTGCTGCTTTTTCCTGATTTCTCTGAACTGAATGAGTCATTTTTGGTTTTGGCAGGCGTTTCAAAGTCATCAAAATCGTCCCAGTCGTCCATAGGGACACCAAGAGATTCATCCAGACTTGTGGAAATGATTCCTTTGCCACTAGAAAACTCTGGATCTGGTTTCGTTGGAGCTGGAGTCACCTTAAAACCAGACACTGCTGGAGCAGTCTGACATGCTGGAGAAGGGTTAGCTGCTTGGCTGATGGAGTCTGATTCACATTTTGAACTTACAGGGAAGAAGCTGCTGATATTGGACTTTTGAGGTCTGTCAAGCTTGTTTGGAAATGTCAAAGGAGATTTAGTCACCAAACTGTTCTTAGGGACATTGCCATTCCTGCTTGCCAAAACATTTGAGCTGATTACCTTGGTAGGGAGTTCCACTTTGGTCGTACCTGATGAGGATTTCTTTTTGAAAGAAAAGGCCCTGAAAAATACACATAATAGGCATGATGTTATGAAAATAAAACATGACACTCAGAAGATAGAAGTGTTATGACACATTCAACAGACAGCTCTATTCTTGAATGACACTTGTGTTTTTTCTTTCTATTCAACAATCTGATGAGAACAGCTGCCAGTGATTCTGTCTAAACACTAACATATATAAACTACTCAACGCCGTCATGGCGGATTTGTTTCCGGGGAGCTCGCACCAACCTGGTGCAGCTGCAGCAGGTGGAGTCCCGGGATGACAGGTCAGACCTTTCAGTGGGTACAAGTGACTATACCCGGCAGTGCAAAATACTTACTGATTAGCTTTAAATGATTGTGGACTTACTGTGTGTCTATTGTTTGTTTGCTGCTGCAGGAAACAGCTGAACAGAAACATTTTTCGTGCCAAACTGTCTACAGTGCGACTTGAAAATGCTCATGCAGCGGTGTGAAACTACTTCTGGATACGTGGTCTGAAGCAGCAGTAAGTGAGTAAGTAGTAAGCAGTAAGTGTTAATATCCCTTCTTGTGCCAACACTACTGAGGAGTGTTCAGTTAGCATAGCTGACAGCTCAGGGCTAACTGTTAGCTGGGTTTCCCCCCCTCGTGGTAGTTTAACCTTACTTACCCCGGTTTAGGTTTAGCCAGAGACAGCTTGCTTTGAGCAGCATTGCTGTGCCTCGCCAGTTGTTCCTTCAGGTTATTTTGTGGAAGACCGGACATTGTTGTTGAGAAGCTGAGCTAGCAAGTGTTAGCTACTAGCAAGTCGAGCTCAGTTCATGAAGAGTGGCCAGAGAAGCCAGTTTCTTCAGCATTGCACAAGACACGAAATAAAATAACTCTCCGCAGGCTGGCACACTGTTTGTGTCTGCTCTATGTTGTAACTCGGTACAGGTCATTAAACTTAGCCGTCTGTAAATTAATAGTTGAACCTCAAGGCTAATCACTGCTCGAGTACAAAATACAAAGACGGCGGAGTTTGCGCCCAATCAACAAACAGACTTCTTATTGGTCGGCACTGAAGGACAAGGAGGATTCTGGGAACTGTAGTCTTACCACGTTCACTCAGAAGATATGCGTTTTTGTTTTTTTTAATAGAAATCCAGACTAAAATGAACCAAATACACTCAGAGTGGCCTGAAGCAAGTTGCAACACTTTATTAAACCAAAAAACTTACTTTAACACTGGAAAGTCAGCCACTGTACCTCTGGCTAACTTAGAAGTGACACCTATGTTTCCATGGTAACACGCAGTGACCCCTGCTGACTAGTGATAATAATAATTGGCAAAAACATGGTGCCTGATTTCATAAGAGAAAGAGTTTATCAAGTTGTCGGCTGGAAACTGACTGTGGTCGCAATTTTATACCAAATTCTGCTACATTCTGCACTGAATTTTAACAGGAAAACATCACTGTAGCTGTTACACTCTTATTCTCATTTTATCAAGGCACATTAAGAAAAAGCCATGACAGCAAGAGGTTAATCTATTTTCTAAGAAAACATTGTAAGTTATGAAATTAATGTGATCTGAAAAAAATGAATGTTACATTAATTGCTCTAGTATGTAAGACTATAATATACTTTCCCGTAAAAAAAAAAAAAAAAAAAGTATTTAAACGTTTACCTAAAATCATTTATTCTCACATGATTCAGTTTTCAGCAGTTTCACGTAAACATTATTTATGATATATTTATATGGTGAAACCAACCAGGGTCATTTCCATGCTGCATAAATGAAAGAGTGTTCCTATTCACCTGATATAGCTCCATACTTTAAGTCAGGCCCCACATGAATTAAAGAACAACAGATCCATACTCCCCTTACATTCTATTAAAATCGAATACGTAGAAACGTCGCTTTGGATAAAAGCTTCTGCTAGATGAAACTGTGGAATTGTAGAAAGTTATTGACAAAGTTCTGAAAACTGGAATGACAAAATAAACAAAAAATACACATCTGGGATCTGCAGGTACCCCAGTTTGCAGAATGAAGGTTTAAGTTTTCTTCTGGAGTAAGGCAAGCAAAGAGATTTTTCACTCCACCTTTTGCTTTAGTCTGAAAAAGTAAATACTTCTATGTTATTTCATGAGCGCACCAACTTCAGTTAGCAGATAAATTATCTGTCTCAAGTGTCTTAATCTCAAGTCTGACTATTGTCTGCTGCATCTTTGCACAAAAGCTCAGTAAAAAGTGTATATTTTTTTGTTTTCTTTGTTGTTTGCAGTCATTTCTATCTTTCTGTAATGTTCATTTCATCATTATAACTTCCTCAATCATTATTACTGTATTCATCGTGGGTACCTTTTAGGTATATGTAACATATTGTTGTCAAAGACTCAAACACACAGATTAAGTTGATTTTATTTGTGAAATTTACACACATCATTATTCAAAAGATTGATAGTTGAGTGATTATTTCAGATGTACTGATATTATAGTGTATTTGATCTCAGTACGGCCCGATGGTCCTGTCATAGTGCTTCAGTGGAGATTAAGACATATTCCCTTGTGCAGAAACACACTGTCCATAGAAAAAACTGCCTACACTCAAAGCAAAACAATCACAAAAAATATCCCTGTATGATTAAAAAATTTCATCCCTTTTTAGTGCACAATCATGTAAAAATCACACCACTGGGAAAGATGAGCAGGCAGCGAGTCCACACATGTTCTTCCCACGTTCAATGAAGAAATATCTAGAAAAAGAGAACAGTGTTGTTACCTTTCTTTAGTTTGCATACATTCAGTAACAGAATGAGTAATTTGAATGAATAGAAAATGTACCCGTCCATGCCCCAGCCGGAGCCCCATGAGTTCTTTACTATCCAGTACGGGGTACCGTTCTCTTGTCCGTAGCCGACAGCTAGAACTGCGTGGTTCACTTTGTCTGTGGTGTCGTGGCACTTAGTGCTGAAAGCAGGAAGAGAGGAAAGTTTTATTCAGCTTCATACACACAGCTGCTTTTATAAGGAATGAGGAACTAGACCTCTAAATAACCTGACTACCTCACTGACTGACTGAATCAGCTATTGTTTTAGTTCACATGACTTTTATTCACTTGAAAGTGCAGAAAAGCCTTTTAAATCAAATAGAATATAATAAACCATTCTTACATCCTTGTTTCATTTCATAAATTAGGAACATCCTGTCTCAGAGTGATGCCGAAAAACTAGTCCATGCATCTTTTTACTTGCAGGCTGGACTATTGTGATTCCTTTTTATCAGGATATTCTCATTTGACAGCATTTGTTGGGGGTAAATTTCATATTGATTTGTACAATTCTAATAAAATGTAAGTAGAGCAGTCTCATATAGTATTTCATGTGTGTCAAATGTCCAATAAATGGATAGTATGTAGTGCTGGAAAAGCTAAACGTGAAGTGCATTTCTTTGTAGAAATCTATCTAAACTAATATGAGACAGACAAATTCTCCTCAGGCTTTGTTGTAAAGAGTTAAATAAATGATTTTAAATACATAAATGCTTGTGTTTTAACATACTTGGACTGAATATCTCTTGATTTTTCCTAAAGGTTCATTTAAAGTGACATTTCCCGAAAAGTTGTAAAACACTACAACAAAACTTTGGGCTTAAACAGTACATGTGGGGCTTTTTATGGGAAAAAAGTGAAGCATTAATTGTATTTGTTTGAGTCATTCAACACCTCACTGCGTTCACTTATTTATAAAAGTAAAAAAAAAAGAGATTTCTATAAGCTCGTCTCACCTGGTGTACACGCCCTTGTGGTAACTCATGAAGTCAGGGGTCACCTCAAAGGCGAAGCTGACAGGATTGCGTGTGCCGACAGCGTCCACCATCTCCATCTCATTGTACTGACGGGTAAGAGAATAACGTCATCGATCTCTCACTTCAATACAGACTTTTAGTTTGAAGAAAGACATTAATGGTCACTTACCGCGGTTATGTTCATCACCTCCTTCACAAAAGCAGCAGCCAGATGTGGTATATACGTACATTTACCCTCCTAATATACCAAAAAATAGTAGAGATCAAAAGCTGTTAAATATGTTATTTACAGGCATGTATGTTTGATATTTAGTTTGTGCCAATATCACTGTAGCTGATTATTTACAACAGCTTTGTATGGATAGTCCTGCTCCCTCATCAGCCCCTTGTTGTACATGATGTATTCAAATGCTTGACTGGGAAGACCGCTGAAAGACAAATTAAGATCTTGGTATAAAATTGTGACTGATTTGCACAAATTATCAAAGAAAGAAGAAAACCTATGTTTGGCTCTGACCCATTACATCCATGGTTGTTGAAATCCTGGGCGCAGTCCACCAGCTGCTGTTCTGCCTGGGTGCAACGGGAAGTAGCTCAAGATTACAGTAAATACTCTTTGCCCAATATGAGATTTTGTTTTTAAGCAAGAGCAGCAGTTTTGATGAAGAAGTGAAATTAAATTACCAGTGGCACGAGCTTTCCAGTGGCGATAGCAGTGACGGACTCCAGACAGCCAGTTGTGGAAAAAGTCCAGCAGCTACCACAGCCTCCCTTTGGTGCAACAGAAAGATGAAAAGACATTATTTCGTGAAGTAAAACGTGAAGTAAGGTTGTATATGAAGAGGTGGATGCATGGAAATAAATGTTCAAACAACCTTCAGGTAAATTCTTTTTTCTTTTTAACTGTAGGTACCATATTTGTTCTCCACGACCTCCATTTGGAGGCTGGAAAAAATTCATACACTCTCCTTAATCTGCAACAATAAGCCTTTTTATCACGACAGCAACAATGGCACCGGTCCAGCACCACATATTTTCCAGCTGTCAATAGCGCCTCCATTTCTCATTGCATTGTGGGAGATTCGTGCCCAATCAAAGGTTTTTTTCTTTTTTCTTTCATGCATACTTTGTGTTGTTTGTATTTCCATTGTGAACACACTAAAACTACTCTTATAATCTGCTGTCTAACTCAGCAACCGTGTTCACGACAGCTGAGACTCACAGTAGTGGAAAGTAACTGAATAGCTTTACTCAAGTACTGTATTTAAGTACAATTTTGCTGCACTTGTACTTTACTTCAATACTTCTGTTATGTGTTTCTTTATACTTCCATTCAACTACAATTCCCAGGCAAATATTGAACTTTTTACATGAAGCCGATAACTTGTTAGTTACTTTGAAGATTCAGTTCACTAGATAGATGAATTATCCATCCATCCATCATCTATACACCGCTTAATCCTCACTAGGGTCATGGGGGGCTGGAGTCTATCTCAGCTGACTCAGGGTGAAGGCAGGAGACACCCTGGACAGGTCACCAGGGCTACACTTAGAGACAGACAACCAAGCACACTCACATTCACACCTACAGACAATTTAGAATCACCAATTAACCTCAACATGTTTTTGGACTGTGAGAGGAAGCTGGAGAACCCGGAGAGAACCCACGCTGCACGGGGGGAACATGCAAACTCCTAGACAAGTTATGATAACTTCAATATTTTAAAAAAACAAACAACCCCCCCTCAAAAAAACACACATTAAATGTGTCACATTACTCTATGTTTACTTGGTATTTAACATATTTACATGTCCTCAGTGAGTCCTGAGATCCACAACACATGAGAAAAGACCAACCTCTCACTCCTTTTTTCCGCATGGATCAGAAAATGTGTCTCTGAACAGTTGGATTTAAAGGTACAGCCACTGAAATGGGCCCAATTTGAACACGGCTAAAATCAGGGGTATTATAGTCATGACAGAATTAAAGATTTGTTCAATAATATAAGCTGGAATTGAAAATACACACTCTGGGGGCACGTGACACTTTGATTAACTGGATATAATATGGGACCTTTAATGCAGCACAATTCTAATCCAATAATAGGCAAGTCTGCAAAATGAATGCATTTACTTTCTTTACTTTAAATGTATTTGAATGATAATACTTTTCTATTAGCAGGACTTTTTACTTCTAACAGAGTAATTCTACATTGTTGTGTTGTTACTTAAACGGATTACTTCTTCTACCTCTGGAGGTCCATAAAAAATAAAAAGTGCATGTGAATATTTGTGTTAAGCTTCACCTGATTCTTCACATCTGTCACATAATTTCCTTTCTTCCTCCAGTCGATGGAGTCTGGATGTGGTCCGTTGCTGCTGACGTAGTTCCCCTTGGTAGCAGAGCAGTTCTGCAAAAAGCACAATGTAAAAATCACTTCCTGCCAAAAAGAAAAAAAGAAAAATCCCCATCACCACCATCTTTGTAAAACTACTTCTTGTATGGAGGGCGTTACCTGTGGTTCAGACCAGAGGAACGACTTTCGGAATTCACCAAATGTCATGTCAGAAAACTGGTTCAGGGCCACTGCAGGAGGGAAGAGATGAACTTCAGCAACAAGCATTTTTAATGTGGAAGCTGTAAAAGTGTAGCTGTAAATCCAGAGAGCTCCTACTTGTGAAAGAGTGATTTCCTTCATTGTGTTTGTCAATCCTCTGCTTGTTCTCTGTGAAGATCTGGAGTCTCTGGTGGTACTCCTGCATGTTGTACACTTTGTTGTGCTGCACATGGGACAGATTGTGTATATGAGGGGTGAACAGCTGCAGTTAGGCAACACGATGACTGTGATTTTTCATTTCACATTACTTCCTCCTAACATGCATATACTTTTTAGATAGATACAGAGTTTACAGGCAGATCTGACTCACCTGTACCATCCATGACTTGAAGTGAAACTCGTCTGAAAACAATCCATAGCATCAAATTATCACTGATACAGAACAATAAGAGAGAAAAACAAAACAGACGCCGTGGCGCAAAAAAAGAAGAAGAATGAAAGTGAAAGTGCGCTTTAACGCGAATAACACAACCAGACGTGTAAGTGCGTTGAGAAAAGCGGACGATCAGAGCAGCTTACCTTGTTCAGACAGAGGAAAAGCTGAAGTTACAGACGCCAAAGCAAACACAAGTAAAATCATGTTGCTTAGTTCAGTGAAAGCTGCAGCTGATCACAACGGCAGGCGGGTGGAACTGAAGTGAAACCCAAGAGTTGAAACAGGAATGAAACAACAGATGAGACGGTCACGAGGTGAACAGCTGCCTGATCAGATCTGAATATGACACCTCCCGAGATATGCACAGTCACATTCACTCACTAATAAGTCACCAATAAGATATCCAGAGGTTCTAACTGCTAGTAGACTAAACAGTGGATGCAGGGAAAAGTTCCTGCTGGGTAGCGAAGGAAAATACATTGGTTTGTATTTAGCATTCATATCAGAGACTATTTCAGTAACCATGAGCTGGAAATTCCCCCTTTTAAAAAAAAATAAATGTAAAGTTTGCTTAAAGTAACAACAGAAGCAGAGGTCATTTGATAACCCAGCTGGTAAGGAACGTTTCCACAACATCGGATAACATTACCTATAAGTTCTAATAATGATTTTATTTTAAAGGAAAACGTTTTTAAGACTATTTTCATTTCCAATGATGTTACTATAAAAACCATGCATTGTTCCTGGTGTCCACATGCATGGACATCACAGTTTGGGTTATATTACCACAGTCATTAATTTTTAAAATTTTATTATTATTATTATTATTATTATTATTATTATTTTACATTTTTAACATTTTATTATTATTGTTTGATTACTTTTGTTTTTTATTTTTATTTGTAAAAAATATTTTTAAATATATGTTTGTTTTCTTTATGTTTTTTACATTTTTTCTTCGTCTGCTTTTTGATCAGATGAAATAGCAAAGAGAATTTTTTTTAAAAAAAGCATATAAAACAAAAGCTTGCGTCTTAAGAGGTTAAAGGTGGAACATTTTGCCTTTTTGTAGAAGAAGCATATGACAGAATTTTATTGACAGTATTGAGACCTCAGATATCAGGCTGTCCTTTGTAAGACATTTCTGTGATGTGATATATTAACAAAGGTGGAACATTCGGGCTGCGATGTTCTGAGGATGTTTGGGGATGTTGTTGAGGGAACACACTACTGAATCTATAAAACGTTCTACAGAGTCACATGACGGCAATAAAAGAGCGTTCTCAGTGCAACATTCTGTTTTTAGAAAAAAAGCTTCTTGAAAGTAAAAGAAAAATATCCCGTGGAAACAGAAGAATTTTGCAGAACTCTCTCAGAACTTTTTTGGGGGGAAAAAATCCTGACAACAATTTAGCTAGGAATGCTTGAATTAATTGGATGTTTCCCCCCACTAGTAACACTGCAAACTGCAGTATGGGAGCAAAGTACTGTGTTGGGATAATATCATACAATAAGGACTTCATCATATGATTTAGCTGGGCCATTCAGGACTTTGTATTTTAGGAGAAGTTTAGAACTTAAATTCTGTTCTGGACTTTACAGGGAGCCCATGAGGAGAAACCAATATGGGAGAAATATGTTCTGTCTTGCTATTTCCCATCAATACTCTCATGGCAGCATTTTGTTTTAGCTGGAGGGTTTTCTGAGAGTTATATGGTGATCTAGTAAAAAAAAATATTGTGCTGGCATGAAGCATATAGGATGAATTGAAGGACTAATGTTAACAACCCAAGAAAACAAAAACAACCACCAAAATCCCCCCTCAGGTTCACTGTTTATTGATTGCTTGTATGTTATTCATGCATTTAAAAAAATAAAATAAAATTGCATCACTTTCATCATTTAAGGCCAGTTTCTTCATCATTGCCAAATCTTTTTTTTGCCTGTTAGAGCATGAAAATAGCCTATAACTCCATTTTAGTTTAGACTACAGTTGTAATATTACATATAAAATAAAGGCTAATTCAGGTTAATCCAACCATGTGTAAAGATTTATATCATATAAACAAAGAAACAGAGTCAAACCGTGACTGCAACTGCCACCTGTAGACCTGGAATGAACAGATTTTCCCTTAATCATTATAATGGAACATATTACATGCTATTAGTAACTTCAGCATCAACAGGAACTGTGTTTGTTCCAAAATAATGAACTTTAAGATGTTACAAGTGCGTGTTTAGTTTGTGCGTTAGGTCTGTGAAAATTTATAATATTCATTTTTTTTGTATATTTGACATAAAATCAGGATTTTACACTTTTTTTTTTTTGCTGTGCATTTTTGTTTGCCAGGATGAAGAGCTGCTTTTATTGATTAAAAAAAACTTTGATATTATATTTTTATTTCATCATATTAGAAGAGCATGACGTCAACTGATAGATGATCTACAAAAACACTTGAGACAAACTGCCCCTGAGATAAAATGGATTTATTAGCAAGAGGTAACTGGGAAACATATTTTTGTTTATTTGTTGTTATTGTCATCTTCATATCTTTTATACTGTTTTATTTATTTTTTTCTTACAAAACTGGGAATATTTCTTAAGCTGTGGAAACATGAGGGTTGAAAGATAATTTTCATACCACTGGGTATTGCTAACAGCAAAATGTTTATTTGTTTATATACCTTATAAGAGTATGTGCATGTATAAGTGTATACAGTATAAGTATATAGTATTATTCTGTCTGTGAAGGTGTTGCATGCCTACCACATGAGCTTCAAAAGTGTACTGTACATACATAGTAAAAATACATACAAATATTCACAGAATAAGCACTACGTTACTATATTCCTGCTAACAGAAATGGTTATAGACAGGATTACAGTATAAATGCAAAACACTTTGAAAGTTGTCTCCTACCTCTAAGTCATGGTTTTCAAGACCACACTGTTGTAGCATTTCGTGTTAAGCTTGAGATACAACTTGTTTTTGAAAGGATTACACTGTTCCACGTTGAGAAATATGCCAGGTTGCATGTACAAAATGTACAGCACATCTCAGTGAAGTGAATTAACAACAAAGTACAAAATACTTTCCCATGTTCATATAAAGAGCAGGTCACTCTCTCTTATACTACTACAAAAATAGTGTTTGAATGCTGCAGGCAGAGGTCATTCACATACATTTTATCATAGTTTTTAACAGCAATGCATATAACAGAGTGATATACAGTCACGTTCCACAATCACTGGAACAGCAAAAAGGACAGATTGTCTTTTAATTACAGAAGAGCAACAACCTTTTACTCTACAGAAGTAGAACCCGAACCTGAAGGTACAACACTTACCACTGCGTGTGATCTTTTTTCATGAGTTTGAATTTAAAAAAAGAAAAAAAAAAAGCAAGTAATTCAAGCAAAAAAAAAAAAAAAAAAAAGCAAGTAATTCAAGCAAAGGGAAATCTCATTGTACTCGTGTACCTTGAGTGTAACAAAAAAATTCAGATGACTAATCCTTAAATCACACCAATCTACGATGGTGTAAACGTTCTCTGTCATACAACGGATTCTATTAATTGATCCGAGGTGTCTAAGGTGAATGTAGACACCTCATGTGTCAACAGGCTACTAAAGGAGAGTATCGCTATTTAACAAACAAAAACACACTTAAAACTTCATCAGTTTCAGGTGATTGAAGACATATGTTAGAGCAGAGGTTCCCAACCTCTGGGCTGTGGACCATTACCAGGCCTTGGTAAACATTTACTACTGGGCAGGAAAGAACCTCTATGTTTTTGAAAAAAACGCTGAATGATTCTAAAACTTTACAAGCTATTAAGTCGGCACAGACAGTTCAGTGTTTTCATCACATCCTGTCACATATGATCAGTGCCACTGACTGTATATAAAACATGGATGTAGCACCGTGACATCATGCATTAGTTTGTGGATTACTGTTTTTTTTTTTCCAAAGTTATTTTTTTTGCCTTTATTTGAGAGTGCAGTTGAGAGAGAGACAGGAAAGTGGGGGAGAAGAATTGGGGAAGGACCTGCGGAAAAGGGCCATGAGCAGGATTCGAACTCATGACCTCCGCATCGGGGACTATAGCCCTTGTTCATGGGACGCCAGCTCAACCAGGTGAGCTACAGCGGCGCCCATGGATTATTGTTTTCAAGTGACTAGTTTGGGATTTGGTAATCGCAGTCTTGGTAGTTTGAAACTGGATGGATCTGATGGAGAACACTATAAACAGCCATACAGTAGCAAACAGGTACAATGAAGCGTAAAGTACATGATGCTTTATTGTCTATTTTACTCTAAATGGGGTCATAATTTACTAAAAGGACATCAACCTGTATTGAAGGAGACATAAACTAGTCCTTGAGATCATTAACTTATAGAGAAGATGCTCATTAAGGTAACAAATTAATAAGGAATATGGCCATGTCATGTAAATGTATACATTTTGACTTCTTTTTTACAATGAGAGGAGTCGCCCTCTGCTGGCCATGAAAAGAATGCAGGTTTAAATTGCTTCTGCATTGGCTTCACTTTTCAGATTTGGAGGCTACATCCATGTTTTATATAGTCTTTGGTTTGTAATTCTCAACATTTGCTGTTGTCTCCTAGAATTGCTCTATAAAAAAAAATGAACTTCTCTTGACAGTCCTAATTTCATTTTTGGCCAAATGAATGATATGACTCCAGAGATGGCAATGTTAGACCATCAGCACCACTCACTTGGTCCAGATGGAAATATTACAACAGCTTTGGTATATTTCAGCAAATTTGGTACAGATGTGGTGCCCAGAGACTGACACCTACTGACACTGGTGATCCCTTGGCTTTTCCTCTTGCAGCACATGCAGGTTTACATTTGTGGTTTTTAGTAAAATGTCTTAACTGCTGGATAGATTGCCATTAAATATGGTGCATGCATTCATCTGCCCTTCAGGATGAACTGTAATGACTTTAGTGATCCCTTAACCTTTCACCTTTTGCTATCATCAGGTAAAATATTAGTTAGGCCATGACTGATACTTGCAAAACCAACAATATTCTCCGAAGCTTCATTTATGAGTTTAGTGCAAATTGGTACATGTGAGCATGCAAACTAGATCAACTTAGAAGGTAAGACTGGGGTTGAAATCATGAATTTAAACATGATGCAACCTTCATGGTTGTAGACTGTTAGTCCACCAAATTAAAGGTTTTGAGCATTCTTGTTTATTCGTTTTGTTATTTTAACCGCAACAAGATGTTAAGTTTCTCTCTCTGTTAGGTTTCATACCCAGTTGGGCCTGTTTGCCTGGTCCACAATGACACCGTCGACGTAAACGCAGTAAAAGTGGTGCAAAAAACAGTTGGGAACCCCTGTCTTCAGAGTAGTGAGCAGAAATGAAGAAACAAATCCTTCTTGTTTTGGTTTGGGAAGCACAGAGACACTTATGCTTTGGATACCTTACTGTCATTTCCACTGATCATTGTTCCCTCTCTTTAAATACAATTCTATTCTCTGTGCTCTTTTACCTGATTTTTATGCAGTTCATTTTTACAATGCTACATTGGTTGCAGAGAAACTCAGTCATCAATAAAACTCAAGCCAAGAGAACAACGGCCAGCAGCACGAGTGCTCAGAAAGTGCAAATTCGACACAGTATGACATAATGCAAAATAATGTCATTGGTCACTAAGAGACACAGTTGCATGCGACTAAAGTGACCTCTATTATTATTATTATTATTATTATTATTATTATTATTGAAATACCCCAAAGAAATTAAAAAAAAGAAATCCTTTTAGCAGGTGTCGTCATGGCAATGGCAACAAACGAAAAATATATACTGGAAAATATACACTAAAATGTTTTGTGTCGTCAAACAAGCTTAAACGTCTACTGTACAGAAGAGCAAATATCTTAAACATGTACAACTATACAAATGTGTATGTTAACTGATGTGTAATATTAACAGAGAAAATAACGTGGACGACCACCTTCCCCATCAGTTGGGCACTTTAGGCTCAATTCTGAGTGAGGCTTCGTACATGCTTTCTTCATCCAGAGCAGAGCTGTTGTCCAGGAGATACTGGACTACCTGAAACATTAAAAAAAAAAAAAAAGACAGACAAGTTCAAGGAATTTTCTTTGATTGAAATGAATGAATCTTTAAACTCAATACAAAACATCTGTGGCAGTGAGCTACTCCACGACACCATCTGTAGTATTGTAAGGTATGATCAGGTCAACTAATGATTGATTTTGTTTCATTTTAATCTCTTGTGAGGCTCAAACAAGAAAGCTATTTAGAACTCCACAAAGGAAAACAATATTTTTGTATAGCCTCAGTGCTTTCTCTTACCCCTTATTCCCTATACTGTTAATTGTGTAACAACTGATCTTGTTTGTCTTGCAAAATGTATTTTTTTTCAGTCTTTTTATTTAATATTTTATCGTGAATCAATAAGTAATTTGTCTTCTTCTGCTTTAAAATTTATTAGAATAAAATATGCTAAGAAGTAATAAATGCTCTTTCAGGAAGAGTCACAGGTAGACATGGCTTCTCTTTTCCTATTATTTCTGCCCTGATGTAGTGTTTAAAACCAACATCTCATATCATTTTTTGTGATCAGAATGCTTTATCGCTTTATCGCTTATGTTAAGACGTCACATGCCACAAGAGTTGGAAATAACCGGCCTACAGTCTTTATTTACCTTTGGTTGCAGGTCAATCTTATATGCTGTTTGTTGAAACTGCCTGATTTCTCTGATGATGTGAGAAATCTGAATAAAAGGAGAAACAGATTTTAACTTCAGGTATGTCAAACACAAATGTGCACAATACTCTCATATATCAGGTCATCTTACCATCCTCATCTTCGAGAAGTTGACCAAGTTGTCTTCGGTGTAGTTCGGCGTTCCCTCCTCGATGAAAGCCAGGTCGGTGAGGTACATCCCCAGATAGGGCACACAAGGAGGATCACAGCTGGTGGGAAAAGAAACACTCGTCATCCACTTGTACTGCATGTGTGCTTTATTGATCCACTCGAAAACTGTGTCCTTGAACTGAACTCACTTCTTCAAAGCCTCTCTCAGGTTTTTGAACCTGCCCTCTGACGAGACCAGCTTCTGCAGTTTGTCGATCAACGCTTTAGTCTGGGAGGGGAAAAAAAAGGGTTATCATGAGCTCATTTAATGACGATTAAATGGAGGAACAACGAAGAAACGATAAAAAAAAAAAACAAGAAACGATGTAGAGGGAGACAGGCACCTGCTTGGAAACCTTGAGCCAGGTCTTCTTGAGGCGGAAAACAGAGCTGCGGTTCAGTGAGGACGTGATCTCGAGCACAGCGTTGTAGTTGTGAAGACAGCGGCAGATGTCAGCAACAGCCACCCATTTCTCGATGACTACTACCCGAGTGACCACGTCCTCACAGTGCAGGATCTCCGTGGCAATGAGGTTGCTTATCTTGCAGAGGAAAGAGAGAAACAAATAAGTCTGACTAAATATAATGTTTGAAAATCAATAAAGGAGAGGATGAGTTGGGTCTGGTGCTTTTTGATGGGAACATACATCATTGAAGTGCTTCGTTGTTCTCATGATGTACGGCGTCTTCTCATTTTTGTCGTTCTTCATCCAGCCTTGACCAAAGAACTCCCTGCAGTGAACAGATCAAGAACAATGGATTAGTCTGTGTGTCCTTCTTGGCCACAGATGTGAAGAGCTGAGATGGGATGACACTCACTCATATGGGATGACCTTAAACACCAGGTGATCCAGCAGAGTGAGCTGCTCTGCGATTTCCAACGCAGAGTGGTTCTCAAAGGGTTCAGCCTTCCCTCCTCCAACCTACGAGATACAAGAAAGCCCGAAAATCATCATTCCCTAAAGTAGAACGTAAATACTCAAAGTTAGTCAGTTTGATGGTGGCTCAGGACACAATGTCACACTTTGTTTCTGGCTAATGGGGAGAAAGGAGGATATGTTTGCATATTTAGTCTGGCTTGTTTGTCTTGTAGACTCTGAAGGTTGTGGGTGAGCGCTGCCCCAAGCAAAAGACTTTAAGTATCTTGGGATCTTGTTCACGAGTGACGGGAAAATGGAGTGTGAGATGGACAGACGGGTTGGACGGACTGTCGTGGTGAAAAGAAAGCTGGGCAGGAAGGCGATGTTCTTGATTTTCTGGTTGCTCTATGGTGCAACACTATGGTGATTAGCTCTGGATAATGAGCGACAGAATGAGATTGCGAATACAAGCAGCTGAAATGGGTTTCCTCGGTAGGGGCCTCAGCCTTAGTGAACAGGGTGAGGAGCTCAGAGATCCAAAGGGAGCACAAAGTAGGCACTGGACACCTTGCTTAAAAAGGTTTTTGGGGATGCCCAGCTGGGAGGAGACCCCGGGGGTAGACCCAGAACTTGCTGGAGGGAAACACCTTGGGATCCCCTGGGACCCAAATTCAGATAGGCAGCAGAAAATGGATGGATGGATGGATGTTAGCCTAGCCTCCTGTACTTGCATCTAAAGCTGCTCCATAATAAAAACTGGCTGTACCTAAAATCCCTGCATATGCTAACAATCCTATAATGCAGTGCTCAATTAGCTAAAATCACCACTCACTACTGGGTTAAGTATTGAGAGTTCATTATCTAGGGAGTAGTGACAAAAGGGGGTGATTTCGAACAGAGCCACAAACAGCAGCTACCGACTTCACTCACCAGTTGTGTCACGTCTTCCAGGGTGATCTGATTGTCACCGTGATCTTCCTGAGTTAAAGTCCTGACAGGCAGGGAAAGAGAAGGTCAAGCTCTGAAAGATGTAGGGCGCCATGAATCAGTGAAATACAATTTAATCCTACAATCAAACAGCACACGGCGGTACCTGATGATGTTGGCTGCCGCCTTCCTCTCCTGGGTCAGCAGCTCAGGGTCATGCATCACTTCCTCCAGGAAGGCAATAACCTTTGTCTTCAACTCATTGTTGCTCTCAAAGTCCTTGGAAGGCAAAGAAAACAAATACTGAAGGATGTTGTTGTGGTCATATTTAAGCAAAAACTCTTCTCTAAAATGACAGCTCACATCTTAATATATGTTTTTTACTGAACTGTTTTTCATACTCTGCTTTGGTGGTCTGTTAATAACAAAATACAACCCAAATAAAGCATCTCTGTGCTCTACTATATTAAACGTACAGCTTACAGGCTATAGTATGAGATTATTGCAAGGTAAATGTGACATACTGAATTAATATGCAGAACTCCAGCAGTATCTATACAACAGCAGCATTAAAATCACGGTTATCCAGCAGTGCAGTGGCTATAAAGTGTGCACATAAAGGTGCCCTCAGTTGTGTTTTACCGGAGAGTGTTTGGACACCCAGTGTCTGAGTACATTCAGGACTCTGTTGGTTGCCGCTCGTCTGATCACAAACTCCTTGTCTCCGTTTCTCTGATCTGTCGGAAAACCTGCAGAAAATGAATTAAATGAGAAATCTGAAATCATTGCATGCTATTCTTCCCAGCCTGGTTACAACAGCCTGTAAATGAAACTGCTCTTTTACAAGGTAGTGAATCGGTGTGTATACCTGTACTGGCGAGGGACATCCGTCTGTATTTTTCCTTGGTAGGGGTGCCCTCATTGGCTCCGGCTGTAGCAATAGCGAAGGCGGAGGCAGCAGACAGGGCACTGCGGTTGTTGTCAAGCTCTCGACACGAGGACATCACCATGCCATTGTTGTAGGAAAACAGGGAAAACTCTACAGACAAGCATAGTTTAAAAAAATAGAATATATATTACTGTGTCATGAAAACTGAATGGTTGGTTATAACATTCCACATTGTACATGACTCAAAATTTTACCAAAAAGCTGCTGGTAAAATGTGTACCGCTCAGTATCTGCAGACCGACCTGCATTTCCTTGCACAAGCCTCCACTAGGGAGCACTACAGGCCAACACAACGGTTTCCCTCCAGACTTTCCTTTACAAGAGGCTTTGATATTCAAGATGGTTGCAGCTAAATATAGCCACCAAATATCAGCATAACAGAGGAATCAACAGATTCTCTGCACTCTGCTATGTTTAAATCCTGGGAACATAGACAGATCATAAGCAGCTAAGAATCCTACACACTGCTTCACGATTTCAGTTAATTCACATATTCGAGAGCAGGCTTTGCTTTCAAAATCTATTGTGCAATTTTGTCATGAGATTTAGAAGGCACAGATAATCTTGGCTCCAGTGAAACAGCCTCATTACTGGGGGCGGCAGGGAAAACACGCTCTTGATGTAGTTGCTATGACACAAGTTTCCCTAACACCCACTGAAGCCAAGCTTTGGCTTTCCCCACATGTTCATAGGAATCGACCAAATGATATTTTATGTTTCTTATGCTTCTCAGTGGCATGTTTTTCTTCCATACACAGCGATTAATCTGCCATCTCTGCCACTAACAGACAGTAAAAACATTCCCAGTTGCAGACTCAAGAATATTGTGAGCTGCAGGCTTTGTTTTTATTATGTGGTCTGGTTCTGTGATTAAAGAAAGTAGTGCAAAGGGCAGCGCAGTGAGGCACTGTCATACGCGTTAGATGCAGCTGGCATGTCAGTGTGCAGTTCACAAGCTTGGATTTGCATTTGTGTAGTTCTGCAAGTCTAGAACATAATGTACCTGAGGAGTTTTTGCATTTGATGTTTTTTGGTGTGGTTGGAGATTTGGTGGGAGACGCTTCTGGGTCCCCATCATCACTCTGGTTTTGATCATTGTCACTTTCTTCTCGTACGGAGAGATCTGTATCATGACAAGCGGCGAGGTCAGTAAAAACAACATTCCAGCAAAGTTGGAAGAATTCATTTTGAAACGGTTGCAGCCGACCTACCTTGTTTACACGCTGAGGTATCCTCCACCTTGTCCTTCTTGTCCTCTCCCTCGTCAGAGATTTTGCTCGTGATCGGGCTGGACACGTACAGTTTGTTGATGTCCAAGGTGGTCTTGCTGAATGGGGACATGGAGGAGTACATGCTTGCATAGCCATTTGAGGAGCAGCTGAGGGCAGCCAGGTCAAGAGCTTTGCCCCCAGTGATGATGGGGATGTTGAGAGACAGCTTGCGCCGGCGGTTGGGGGATGAGTTCTTGGCAATAGCGAGAGGAGGAGGGGAGGAGAACTTTCTGCTCGCCCTGGGGGAGCTGGGAGGCTCTCCATATAGGAGTTTGCTGTTCTGGCTGCTGGCAAAGAATAACTCCAGGGACCTGCATCAAGGGCGGATACATACATTTGATTTTAGGACATAGGAATGTGTTTCTTTGATATGTGGCAAGCATACTCTGTGCTTCAAGAGCTTAGCTTAACAAACAACACCTCCTAAATAATTTATGCAAACCAGCCCAGCAACCAGAAGTCTCTTCGCAACCATGTCTCGATGTTTTAGAGCAGGATACAGGCTGCAGTGTTTCAGAAAACCTCTCCCACTCCCTGCCACCCTCCTGGCGACCTCACGGGTTCCCATAAATAGCACAGCGAGTGATAGTGCGCATGGCCACTGCTGACACAAGCAGCCAAGTGTAGGTGTCTCACAGTGACATGACAAGCGACACGGGAGAGCATACTGCAGAGCGTGGACGCGGAGAGCTCCCCCTGATCTGAACCCCACACTGGGGCCCTCGCTCTAGGCATGCGGAGCGGCACGTTAGCCCCCAATGCAACACTCCGTCAATATTTCACACTATGGATCTTTTGCAGACAAGGAGGAAGAAAAGGAGGGGAGGGTGGGGTCCTGCAGCACTGAGGTTGGTTGCCATAGAGCGATGGAGCCCAGTTGAGACACTCCCAGGCAAACAGGAGGGACCGGACCCAATTACTGCCTCCAACCAGTGAACACACACACACACACAAACACACACAAACACACAGTGATACAGAAGCACCATCAAACATGTCTTCCTGCACGGCTTCATCTTTCTGCTTCTCTGTGCTCGCAGTAACCAACAAAACAAACTCCCTAAATACACACACACAAAGCTTAGAAGATCAAATGTGAACTGTTGACTTCACATACAGTATCTGGACACTAATTCTCTGTGACAAAATATAGACTTGTGGTTGACCCTCTTCATGTCCATCCTCTGATTCAAAGTCAAATTTAAATTTGCATCGACAGTAATTGTGTTTCTGTGTTGTCAAGTAGGATTTAAAATTAAGGAAGGACTTGCAAGAAACAGGTTACACAACAAACACTGCAAACCACTAGTTCCATCATGAGACCATTTTTAAATGTATACTTCTTAAAGACTCCTTTAATATTTGCTTAATCATAAGACTTCACAGGTGCAGTGTTGAGGGAAAAAAATGCATCAAATTGTTTATGTATTTGGTTGTGTTTTCTGTATATGCAGCATTTTTTATTTTTTTCTAAATGCAAAGACGTTTTCATTAATTGCTTTTGTATATTTGCAGTGAGCTCTCAGGGCTACCACAGATTCCTCAGTCCAGTTTCATAAGTTTGCGTGTGTATAAACAGAAAAAACGTATATAGTTATTATATTTAGAGTCATCTGTGTAAAAGCATGGAATAAACAATTTATATGGTTGCAGTTAAACCTAAAAGTTCAAACCGCAAGCATCTTGGCTCCGGCATATGCCTTGAAATTGATTAGAGGATGACAAAGCTTCACATCCTAATAAATCAATCTCATCTTTATGCAGTATGGCAAGGTCTGGAGGAATGCCAGACACTTCAAATAAGATTTGTTTGTCTATTGGAAGTGCTGTCAACAACCTTGCAACATCCGAGTCTGTCCAAATGCAATGTGACTCACCGAGCAGGGATGGCACTGATGGGCTTCTTGTAGATGGTGATGAGTTTATCCAGCACCACATCGGCGGTGGTGAACACGCGATAGGAGTGCAGGAAGGTGTTGAGGAAGTCGATTGAAAGGAAACGGAGATCGGTCAGTCTCTCCAGCAGGCGCTCGACGCTGGCGTAGCGGATCTGCAGCACCTTGCAGGAGTTCATCATCTTACTGAAGCGAATGTCCACATCGTCGCAGTACAGGCTCGAATCTGACCTGTTGACAGAAAAGACAAAAATCAGAAAAAAAAAAAAACAGATAAAAAGGAGAAGAAGCTGCACAAAGCATGACAACAAAGCTTACTTGATCATCTGCGGTACTGTGACTTTGGAGTTGTCTTCAAAGGCGTTCATCATCAGGCCATTGCAGCGGATGTTGTCGATGCACTGCAGGACACATGCGGTTGAAGTAAACAGACAGGACAGAGGAAATGTTAGCGAGTTCTGTAACGCGCGGGCTTTCGGCCCGACATCCTCGGCTTCTTGTCTGTCTGCTTGGAGACTGTGATGTGTGTTGACGTGCCTGGCTGATGTCACTGGTCCATGCAGACTTCTCCTGCCTTGAGGAGGCCACCAGGATGACGGTGAATGACTGGCTGTCCTTTGGCTCCACGACAATCTTGAAGTCCAGGTGCTCCATGTCCTGGCCGCTCTTGTCTGATTTGGCTGTTGGGCAAACACAAGGACTAGATGTCATTTTCTCTCTAGACATAGGCAAATATACCGTAAACACAGCCAACAAATACAGATTCTAAAGTGGCACCGTATCAAATGGTATCTGGGCAATAACTCTATTAGTGTCATCGTTCTTTAATAAAAAAATGCATTTTAGAGTCTCTTTCTGATGGTTCTACTGTCCTTTAAAACACTATTTTTCCAGTTGTTTCAAATACGGATTATACAATATTAATGCATTCAAACACATTCCAGGAATCATACATTATATAAACCATAATAAATAGTACATATGATGCATTTTTCTGTGAGCTGGGATGTATATTAAACACTCACACTCGTCATCTGTCCCCTCAGGGTCCTCCATAAGAGTGCAGTCTATAAGTGACACTACTCCATTCTGCAAACAGCACACAATATACATTTAGTTTCTCTACGCCGCATTCGACTCAACATCGTGTAAGATTGCATAACACACTGTACATTTACACAACAAAGTATTGTGAAAAAAAGGCTCAGCAGCAGCTTTACTTCTTATAAGGAAAAAAATTCATTTGGAGTGTAATAAGAATTCAGGGCACAGATTATAACTGTTAATAAAACTTTTAACCCTACGAACCACCAAACCTGCTCGGAAAACCTACGGTCCAAAACTGCACCATTTATTAGAGGCACAAGCTGTAAAAGCTGAGAATTTTCTGATGGTTCTTGAACTACTCATCTGTGATGTGCTGTTCTGTCGGGTAAATTAACATAATCTACATTTAAAATTTAGGTATTTCATCATTTTATTTTATTCGTCTTATTTCAAATTGTGGCAAACACAAACAATTTGTCCAAATCAGAATAGGTAAAAAACTAAAAATTCTGTGCTCCTCGTTGCAACTAGACGCCGCTACTGACTCAGCTGTGAGCAACAGTGATATGACAAAAAATCAGAATTTGCAACTATACTGCAGGATGTGTTCATACAGAGCAAATAGGAGAGTAGTAGGGAAGCCAATAAAAATGTAATTAGTAAAGTATCTGTAATATGCAGAGTCACAATTTTTTTAGTGGTGCTCGTGGGGATTTGGAAAAATGTTTAATCCAGGTTTTTAAAAATACTTTTAATGATTTCTAGCATTGTATTTGTGTTATTCTACACAGACAACATTTGTGCGTTCTCTCTACTTCTAGCCGTGGTTGCACTATTTCCATAGAGGTGCAGAACTTTATATTGCGATGATAAATGAACCCACAGTAAGTAAAAATGTGACAGGAGCAGAAAACGCCCAGAAACCGCTCTGGGCTTCAGAGGGTCAAACCATTTCACATGAAGGTTTTACTGTAGCTATGCAAGGCCTTCATTTAAAAGCTTATCTTAATTCCTAAACATCAATCACTCTCTGTGTTATTGAGCAACGTGGAGTAATAGTGCACAACTGCTCCATTACACAAATCAAAGTGACATCAATGTTAATGAGCTGATGTGTGCAGGCTTGTACGATCGCACGTAGCTCCGACGGCCACTGACAAAAGCTACGACATCTCTAATCCTGACTCTTTCATCTGATGTCGCCTAATTTGTTCGGTTTAGCTCGGGCGTTCGGGGGTTTATTTGCGATGCTGTAGGACTGTGACGTCGGAAACGAGGAGCAGCTCCACTGCCGGCTCAGCAGCTCGAGGCCCACCTTGGTGAGATGAAGCTTCCCCCCAGAACCTCTGGTGCAGATGATTAAATGCTTGGAGAAGAGAAAGCACTGCCTCTCCCCCTCCTTCTTCAGAGACAGAGAGCCCAGTCGCCCACGGGTGATCTTGCCCTTCTCGCTCATCGGCACCTGGATGAGAGACCCTGCATGTAGGAATAAAAGAGAGTGGCGAGGAGAAGGAAGAGGGACAAGGGGTAAGAAAAAAAAGAGCAAGGCGTCAGCAGAGAAACTGCTATAAATAAATGAAGTGCTTGTCTTGCCTTTGATTAGATATGAATACGTAGCCAGTCACATGTGATACTAAATAAGCTACCATTGCTGTTTTCCTCATCCATCAAGGCCTGTTGGGGACATTTGACATTTACAGTCCCAGATTCATCATCAGTTTGCCTCAGAACAGTCTAATTACACTTGGAAATGAAAGACTCTGCATCTTCTTCCCCAGAGAGAGAGAGGGACAGGGTCTTTTTTTAAACTCATCTCCCAGTACAGTGGTGAAGATGCGGCATCAGGCTGTCAGACATGTGGCGGAACAGGACAATCCCTCTCTGTTGTGATTCTGCTGTCCGCTGGGATCTAAAGCACAACACTTAAAGGTGGGAGTTACCTTGTCTTACAAAGGTCTGACTGGTGTCAAGGAGAATCTCGCAGCCCTCTACGATCATGCGCTCTATCGCCAAGTTCTTCCTGATGTTCTCGGTCTCGCTCACTTCATCGTGCATTATTCTGAGGAAAGGGACATTTCAGCATTTTCATTCGGTCCTGATATATGAAACACAACAAGACTTAAGCTTCACAAGAAGAAAAGAATAATTCAGAGAGTGTATTGCTTTGGGTTTGACCTATCTGGCCACATATAGGCTGTGCTATCTCACTGATCAAACAAAAATAAAGAATTAATTTTGATCTATATAAATGCACACTGTTAAAAAAAAATAAAATAAATAAAAATAAAAAAATACTTTAAAAACAGTAGAATATTGTAACATTCAAAACCTGTAAAAATTGTGGCAAATATCTGTAAAAAAAAGGATTTTTTGTTGAGTCATTATGCAGTTTTTTTCTGCTGTTTTACATTCAACATATTCAGTTTTGTGCTCTAATTTTACTTGATATTATCTCTAACATCAGAAATGTGTAAAATAAAAGTTTAAAAAAAGCTTTACAACTTTTCATTACCTAATAAACATAATATTCCTTTCAAATAACAGGAAATATCTGTAGGATATTGTTATTTTTTGCTGATTTAAATACAGTTACAACACTATAAATTTACCTTCAAACATTATAAAGAACAAACTACAGCTTCTATTTATGTGGCCGCTATTTACAGTTTTAGTCTGTTTTTTATTTTAATTTTTAGGGTTAACATGTATAGAAATACTTCTGTAATTTTACTAAATATTATCTGTAATTTAAAACCTATAAATTAACAGCAAATAGTTTTAAAAAATGAATAAAAAATAACCTCTTAACTTGTTTTTACAGAGTATATAAATGCAGGAAATGGAAAACCTGGCTTCAATGTGTCTCCCACATCTAAAACCAAACCTTGATTGTATCATGTAAAGCAGGGGTGTCCAGTCCTGGTCCTCGAGGGCCACAATCCAGCATGTTTTAGATGTTTCCTTCTTCCAGCACACCTGATTCAAATGATCAAGATCATTATCAGGCTTCTGCTGAGCTAGTGATGAGCTGATCATTTCAATCAGGTGTGCTGGAAGAGGGAAACATCTAAAACATGCAGGATTGTGGCCCTCGAGGACCAGGATTGGACACCCCTGATGTAAAGTAATATCCTGCTCATTTGAGACACCATGCATGTCTCAGTGTTGACAAATAGGTATACCTGGAAAGCTCCTCCAGCTTCGATTTGGCGTAGTCCAGACTGTTTCTCTCCACATGTTCGTGGGGTGTGTGGGCCAGAAGTTCATGGAGAGTAAGGATGTAGCGGGGAATCTAGAGAGACACAACACAAAGTCATTTATAAGACCTTACGTGCCACTGAAAATGCGCACAAGGACATCGCAAACATACAAACACAGGAAGACACACGTGCCAGCATAATGAGAAGTCGATCAGTGGAGAGCACAATCTACACTCATCAGCAAAATTTAGTATCAACGCAGCACAGCCTGCAGTCGGCCCCAGCAGAGCAGACTGTCGGGAAACTGCGTGCCTTGCCAGAAAGGAGCCGTTATTAAAGCCCGAGCTCTGAAAACAACCACTTTTTATAGACATGAAAAACACCAACAAGGATATTCTGAGCAACAAATGCCTGCTGTTTCTTATGTAAATCAGTGATGCTACAATATGGGTGTTTGAAGCCAAGTTCTGACTGAGCCACACTGGCCAGAATACAGGCCAGACAACATTCATGAAAATGAATGCTTTGGTTAATGTGTAAATCAGTCAAATTTGGTTATGCGGGTTTTTATTTAATCCTACAGTCGCTTCAGAAAGTTTTCAAACCAATTATTTCTTATTGGCACACACACAGAGGGGATGGCAGGTTAACAAGAGGGATGCATTTTGGTCATTTTGCTAACAAGGGGGATGACATCTCCGCTCATCCTACTCAAAGTGTACAATATTTGCACACTTTACAGTATTACTGAACATTATCCCCCCATAAAGAAAAGATGAGGATGCAGTTATTTTAACAGATGTTACGATATGAGTCATAATTTCAGTAGGAATGGAAAATTTTACATTTATTTTACACTGAAACAAACACAGAAATGATCATCTGGTTTCTGCTGCAGTCTCTAGCAAACAAGCATGTAGCCATGAGATGTGTCAGCCACCACCCAAGCACCAAGAAGCACAATGCAAAACGAAAAACGCTAACACATAACACATTTGACCAAATAAAAAAAAAAAAAAAAAAAATAATCAATAAGTGCTACGTTATACTGTATAAAGTGTAAAACATAATACACATCACCCAACACCCAACAACCAATAACCAAAAAATAAAAAAACACAAGAAGGAACGAGAAAAAATTTATTAAAAATCAAAAACTGCTGTCTCTCATTTGCTATTCAAACCTTCAGATCTGTAATTTATAGAAGCCACTTTGGCAGACATCACAGCTTTGAGTCCTCTTGGGTACATTTCTACAAGCGTTGCACATTCCCATAGTATGATGATGCCACCACCGTGCTTCACAGAAGACATGGTGTTAGTCATCAGAGACTTTTCCTAAGAGTGACTGATGGTCATAATAGAGAGATCCTGGCGCTCTCATAGTCCCTTAAATACAAATACCAAGCAGGTTGTCATATGTCTTTTACTCAAAGTGGCTTCTGTGTAGCTCCTCTACCATATATATGTCTGTGATTGAGTGCTGCAGAAATGATCATCCCTCTGACAGGTTCTCGCATCTCTTCAGATTACTTAAGAAGCTATGTAAAAGCCACAGTTTGGTTCCTGGTCCCTTCTTTAGCCAATGACCCTCTTGCTCTGTTATTCAGTTTGGTTGGTCGCCATTTAATCTAACCACAGTTTTAATGTCTACGGAGTGTTTCTTGCACTTTATGACTCAGTTTTAATCCTGGCATTCTGTGTGAATTGCCAACTATGACCAGTAAATTCAGTTTGCCAGGAGAACTTCAATCAGGTTATAGACACATCTCA